GGCTGTGGCTGATGGAGTTGGGCTGACAGTATCCCGGAAGTGTCGTGAACCTCACTTGCTTGGGTGTTGGAACCCTTTGAAAAATATTAGTAAATAGGGTCCTTATGAAACCAACTAGGGAAAATTTTTCAGTATCCCAAGGGCCAACCCAGCTCACTGTCACACCCCAGACCCCCTAAAGGATCCAAACAATGGAACCCCCCCAACATGAACCCAATACTACATTGGGGAAAGTAGGGGATTGTTAGGGGGTTCCATTTTTTGGATCCTTGTATCTTCCCCCCTTCAGAAGATGGTTAATGCTGCCCTAGGGAGAAAAAAGGATCCGTTTTACAGAAATATAGGGAACCCCACACGCCAAAAAGTATAAAGGATCCCTAACATTGATCCAGGTTACACTTCCGTAGAATGGAAGCTTCAAGAATCAGACGGGAGCTCCGATAACCTCCCCACTCTCTTCACACTGCTCTAAAAGGATCTGAAAACAAAGCCAAGCTCTACATGAGCCATAGTCTAAACTGCTAGTATACCCCTTGGTACCCCTTATAGTAGTCCCGCATATAATCCCCTATAAAACCCCCTTTTAAGGAGTGTAGACTCTGGCTCACATGAGCCTAAGGCAGGGCTGTAAAGAGATCCCGATGTCCAGAAGCCTTCCTCACGAGCTCTTGAGCCTGTCCCAGTGAGCGCGGTCCGTATGTGGCAGGGCTCATGACTTATCTGGGCTACTGTTCCGGATCTTAAGCCAGGTTACCATCATAAGAGGTTCCTTTTTAACTGGTTATAGCGGTGATATAACGGTCATTTTGCTACAGTCTAGGTTAAAGTTACCATAGTACGGATATGCAAGGATAATACGGTTTCTCTGTAGTGGCACCTTGCTTTAAGTTCAGGGCCCTCGAGTCTTGCGTTCGGATCGGCCCTTGAGTTGAAATATCTATGCATCTACTGGTGGGTCAGGAGGCCCTAGTAATCATACGATCTTATACCGCCACTACCTTAATTCCCTCACCTGCCCTAGATAGCCCTTGATTAACCCGTATTGGGAGGTGCGGGGGTGCAAGTAGGCAGGTTCAGAATAGGGATAGCTAGTTGTATGGCTGTAGAAGTATACTTACTTTGTCCCCCCGAGCCTGAACCCTTAATCATATGGTAGTTCCATTTCCTCTTCCTTACTTAGTCTCAGATCCTGAGTAGGGTTTCACTGTATATCCAAAGACCTGTAACTCCTTCCTTGACACCACGTTGTAAACCAAAAGAACATGGGTTCGGGTTTAGGGGACACCTACTGGATGCTTTTACGGGTTGGAACCTTAAACGTAACATACTGCAGAGCATGTTTTAGTTTGAGGTTTTCCTACCCCTATCTCACATTGCGCCCCCAGCGGCGTGCAGCACGCCTCCTCTTCCTTGCACACAAGGAAAACAAGGTTTACTTTTTGGTTCTTGATAGGGAAGAAGGGAAAACAATCCCTTCATTATATATATATGTTACATGTTTCATTCCATGATTCCCTACTACGAACCAGCAAGTGTGGGGTTTAGAGTTAAGTTTGGGGGTTTAGGGTTTCGGGAGGGGTCCCTACGTGATAACTTGAGATGTAAGTAATTTATAGTGGGAATCCATATGGCTGCAAAGACCAGGAGTTGAAGTTAACAGATTTACAAGTGTATTTATGGGTTCGCTTCGGGCTTCGGGACCCAAAAACGAGAATTGCAACACTGTTGAGCGAACCCCTAAGCTCTTATGAAGCCTGGGCGGGTTTGGGGTTTAGGGTTGAGGGTCTGGGATTTAAATGTTCAGGGTTGAGTACCGTATCAAGTGGTGAGGTTCTTGGAGAGCGGAGGTTCTTGGGTACCTTCCTGAATACCGGCTGTTTGCGCTAGTCCTAAGACTGTATCCCATCTGATGCCTGTCGAGAAGAAGGTAACCATCACATGTAAGATACTTGAAACCTCAAATGGGGTTTCCCAGAATGACGGATACCATTCTGAGGGTCCTCCTAAATAAGGACAAGAATATTGTGGGGTCTAAAGCGGGGATCCCCCTATTTTGGGAGATTGCCAAAGAGTCCTACTTGCAACTACCTGAACCCCCAAACCGCAAACCCTTACTGCAGACCGCCCCACCCAAACCCTAAACCCCAAACCCCAAAGTCTAAACCCCAAACCCTAAGCCCCAAAGTTGCTCCTTTGTGGTGGGTCAAGGAGTTTAGGAGTATAATTGGAATATGAGAGGACCCTAATATCATTCTTATTTTCCCTTATAATCACTATTTCAGGGTGGGGGTTCCACCTGATGGGTACCCGCGTCCTTCGTCTTGAAGGTCTGGGTCGAGAGCTCTCTGAAGAACTCTGAGTGGATTGCAGAGGATCTTTTTTTAAAACAGTGGATCCCTTCTGTAATCACCTCCCCCTGATAACGATCCTCCCTCCACCCCATAATTATAAGTCTATCTCAAAATAATACTAAGGACATGCAGGACTTCTAGTATCAGCAGTAGTTGAGATGGATAGATTTTCTGTGCCTTACTGCAAGGATGAACACCCTAAACCCTGAACCCTAAACTGGAGTTTGGGATCTGCATGCCACCCTCTTTTTGGGAGCCTTTCTTGTGCTGCAGAACACCTGGGCAATGCGCAAATCGCTTAGGGTTTAGAATTTACGTCTTAGCAAAATCCCAACGCTTTACGGCTTGACTTGCGCCAGAAGTCTACACCATCTTTTAGCCTCAGTCCAAATTCTAAGGCTATGCTGTTGTCGACCTTCCAGCCATGTGAAGAAAAAATCGGTAGAAAAGTCGTACTTCTTCGAACTTCCTATACTAAGTGTACATTGCTTCCGGTCCCACTGGAGCCCAGGTACCTGAACCAGCGGCCCGTCTCCCCGCGCCACAGGCAAAACGGCCAAAGAGGCAAAAAGTCGGCCCATGGGCGGGGCGGGAAACATTTTACATCCTTGCTGCTCTAGGAAGGGAAGCGGAAAGAGAATGGAACCTGCATTGGCTAGTATGATTTCTAGGGTTTGGGGTTTGAGGTGGGCGGGAGGGGGAAGGCGTGATAAGGACTGTTATGAAAGGTTGTGTGATGTGTCTATCGAGGTTATGTGAACTACTATACCACTAACACTACAGGGTTGCATTCCTTCATTCCCTTAATAAGTCCCTAAACCTTAAACCCTAACCCTAAATACTAGCTTCCATTTTCTTTTCCATTATCCCTATCTAATTTTAATACATACCCTATTATACTATACTATAGTGTTGGAACCAGGCGGCTTGGAGGCTAGGGCCAAGGGCGTGTTGAGGCTTTGGGCACTTCTCAACTCGACGGGTGTTATTTTCTTGAACTTTGCAACTTTGTGGGGCTGAGGGGTTTTATAGGGGCTTTATGGGGGTTTATGTAACATAAGCGAACGGCCTTGCAGTAGACGCTAAGGCGCCTCCTCAAGGATAGCTGAATTCTTTACTGCGGTCAGCAGTTCCTGCAGCCAGCGGTAGTTTGCAGCGACGTCACACAGACCAAGATACGGCACATGGAAGTTGCATGAATGAAGGCTATAATTGACTGGTGGTTGTGTGAGCTTCCTTGAGATTTGTGGGCGTGTCCAGGATTCAATTCATCTAGCTGGAAGGCCCCCGCCACAGACCCAAATACTACGGTACAAAGCCTAAGCTCAATGTCACTACACACTACACCAGGCCCTCAAGTAATAAAATTCAAGGCACAATAGAATCTAAAGACCCGAGCCGGGGTGTTTGAGAGTGATGCACCTTCCAAGCAAAGCGTTCGGGCAACCTTCCGCTTCCATCGCGCAATCGGCATGCTCGCATGTTCAAGTTAAGCATGGCACTTGAGCTCGCAGATTCCCCCCCTCCTCACAGCTCGTGATTCTTCAAAAACAATGGAACACGTTTGCATTATCCTTGTCGTTCTTCCACTTTGATTTCGAGGTATGAAGACCCACCTTAATGTTTCAAGCTGGTCCCTGGTAGGGGTGCGTCTCCCGGGTTGGATTTCATTTGGGTTATGTGGGGTTATAGTGGGATAATCGAAAAAATGGAAACGACTGTAGTACATTGGGCTTATATTGGGATAATGGAAAAGAAAACGGAAATTACTATAGCATTTTGTGGTCATATTGGGGTTACATAAGCCATATAGTCTAAACTCCTAGCATTCCCTTCAATGACAATAACCCCTATAGTAATGCCTTATAGAATCCCGTATATAACTCCCTTTAAGGGGTTTAGACTATAGCCTAAATCCTAACCATAATATACTAGAATATAGTAGTTTCCATTTTCCTTTCCATTATCCGGACATATTATATAACCGCTAAATAAGGTTACATTGGGTTTAGGGTCCAAAATAAGGAGATTCCAATATAGACCCCGATATACTATCCATATTCCTTATTGTAAGGACCCCCCAAAAAGGTCGCCCTAATTTTGGGAAACCACCCATACTGGGTTAGGGGATTTAGGTGCTTTTTCCAGCCTTTTCCAGCCTGAGTCTAAGGGGAGACGTCTGGGCCCCTTTTTTGGGCCCGTAGGCCTTTTAGGGGGATTCTAGAAACCCTGAAGGGTCCATAGGGCCCCATAAACCCTAAATCCTAAAACCCTAAATCCTAAACCCTGAAGGGTACATAGGGCCCATGGTTTCAACCTTAGAAGGAGCCTCTACTCAGCCACTGGGGCTCGCTGCTTCCGTGCCGGAGCAACTCCGCTTGCTGTGGGTCCAAAGCCAGTTCCGTAGTAGCCACTGAGAAATCACCACAAACCTTAGCCCATTGGGGTTTAGGGGTTTAGGGTTCTTGTTGAAATGCTATGAAAAATTAGCAGTTTTAATCTAGATTGGGCGCACGTATGTATACATAAAAATCAACACCAACCTTAGCCCACAAGCCCCTGGTGAAGAAAACAGACTTCTCTTTACATAAGTACAAGGAATCTTATACACCCAAAAATATAAAGGATCCCTCACATTGATCAACAAACTCCATCCTGGTCCAGGTCATTCCGAAACCGCACACGATGGGCATGCCACCTTCGCCAACTGTGCTGGATGGTGGGCCCGCAATAGCATGCCAGGCACCTGGGTTGCTGTTAAGGAACTTAATTTTAGTTACTATATTGGCAAAAGCCTATTCATTACTACGTATACCTATTATGGTATCCCTAAACCCTATATACCCCTGTATATACCCATTATGGTAACTTAGTTTAAATTCCTCACATCCCTATTTCCCCCAGTTTCCATTTCATTTTCCATATCTTTTCCATTTGATTCTCCATGAACCCCAAACCCTAAACTCCCATAGCTTAAAAGCCCAGGCACATCATGGCAAAGGGTATCACAGGCAGAAAGACCTGCAAACCACCATGTGCCAAGTTGGCCTGCTGCTTGCCAGAAGACTCCGTCCTGACAGGGTTGTATAGGAATTATGTGGGTATTATATACGGGTTATATAGGCATTATACGGTGTATATTGAGGGAATATTGGGATAATGGAAAATAAAATGGAAACTACTGTTTAGGGTTTAGCTTGCCAGAAGACTGCGTCCTGGCAAGTGCCGGCGGACAAAGACGCCAGCCACGGTTGGAAACGGAATGGTCCGACCTCCACACTATTGTTTCTGTAGGTGTGATTCCGTCCGGTCCGACAGACCCACTGTATGCCTTGCCATTGACGGTCAGCACATCGTGATTGCTCTCCGTGGTGAAGTCTGTCACATTCAGCGGACCCGCTAAAGATTTCTCAATCTCAATGCTGCAGTGCTCTTGGGTACCATAGAACCTCGGGAAGTTGTGGCTTGTAACGCAACCTTCTGCATCAACCTGGCATGGACGCGAGACCGATTGCCAGATTCCTGCCCTTTCGACCGCATATTGCACTCCATATATGTACACACGGCCAGCGAAACCTGGGTTGGTGCTGTTTTGCGTCCCAAAGGCAAAAGGCAGCTCTCTCCGCGCCGAGCTCTCCTGAATCTTGAAAAGAACCCAGTTCAGGGGCTCTTCACGAACCCCAGCATAGCCTATCACCAGTTTGCGCGACGGACGCGGGATTCCAAACGTGCTGGAAGCCTTTCCGACTTCGCAATGGCCTGATCGCCACACTGCTGAGCCATCATTCTCCCGATCAGCACCCATACATTCCTTCACAATGCTCAGTAGTGGCTTGTCACGAAACCTGCCCTCAAGCTCGAATTCGATGAAGCCGCCAGCGGTGTCCTCAAAGCGCACTCCAACGAGTCCTGCAGTGTCATAGGCCGGCATCTTGCCATCGCGTCCAGAGAGCATGACTCCTGCAGAATCCATGATGTAGCCCCCTGCACTGTACCAGCCCATCCACGTATTCCGATATGTCTGCGAATATCCAGGGCCTGAGAACAGCAGTTCCAGTGCTTGAAGGAAAGGCGCATGGCCCAGCAATATAACCGAAGTCATGGGATTGCGAATACATCGCAGAAAGTCCAGCATGAGTGTCCATTCTATGGAGGCAAGAACGGGATAATTAAAGTCTTGCCGATTCTAAGCAGTGGCAGGCATGTTGTGTACTGCAGAAGTACCAATAATATTAAGCTCTATTTGATGTAATCTGTACCTGAATTATAAGGAATCTGGGGGCGCAGCATGGGTTATCATTCAGTTCCTACTGCAAACAGGTTTGAAATCTGCGCTTTTTTGTTAATGGGCTGAAGCCGAAAACCGCAAAACACTATGTACTCCCGGCTTCCATGTATCTTTCCAAAGCTCTTTCATGCTTTATTCTTCAATATTGAAGCATACCCCCACATGTCCCTACATAAACCCTGAAGCCCTAAACCTTACATATCCGAGCTCATGGTCCAAACCTGTGTCCTCCCTGAGCCAAGCAAAAATCCAGGGCCAGATTTTTCCAGGCTCCCCTCCGCTAGCTGTAGGGTTACATAGGGTTATATAAGGTTTAGGGATTAGGGTTTAGGGTTGAGGGTCTAAACTCCTTAAAGGGGGGGGGTGTATAGTGGAGTATTACAGGCAGGGAGCACGCCAGGTGTAGGGTTAACCAGTAATGGAGAATGGAGAATCAAACGAGCTATGCTCCAAACTCCTAGTATCCCCCTTAAACACCCCTATAAGGCTCCCCTATACAATCCCCTGTATTCCCCCATTTAAGGAGTTTAGACGATAGCCCGAAGAAAAGCGAATTGAAATAAAGACCGGGCCTCTAGTGGCTTTTGTAGAGGAATGAAGACATACTACGAAACGCTGGTGGTCTATAACAGTATCTATAAGGCGGTATAGGTTAGAACCTGGTCATCACAACTTGAGTACTTCCCTACCTAGTGTTTCTTCCACATTTAAAATGCCATGGGAACTTGATGATCGCTAGATACAGGTAGGGCAATGCACCTTCCTTGTTGTATTCAGGACATGCATTTGCCAGGGCTTCCACCACTGAGGCTTCCACCAGCTCTCTCACTCTCCATCAAACCTGAAGGACTAACCTAAAACCCCAGAATTATGCATCCTACACCCCGAAACCTTCACCGCAAAGCCCAGGCAAACCTTAAACGTCAGAAGACCTAGAGCCGTTCTACACTAAGATGCGTAGTACCATCCTTATCAAAGAAACACTCCAAAAACATACCCAACTTTGCGGAAACCCCATACTTGGAGGGCCAGGAAAACTAGTAAGCATGTATCCCATATAGTAACCCTAATTATCCCCATTACAAACCTACTTACAAAGTCCCCTGACCCTAAACCCTAAACCTTAAACCCTAAATACTATATAGTAGTTTCCATTTTCTTTTCCATTCTCCATATATATCCCCAATACACTCCCTATGACCCCTACATAACCCCTATATAACCCCTACATAACTCCTATATAAACCTAAGTCCCTGACCCTCTCAAGTAAACACACCTGCTTTGCGGTTTAGGGTTTAGGGTCCTAAGGACCCTAAACCCTAAACCCTCAACACACCTGCTTTTCAATCGAGCGCTGCTCTAGGAATCTCCTTGGAGCTGCTTGCTGGACGAGTTTCAGCCTGGCTTAGGGGTTGGGGTTTTAGGGTTTTGGGTTTTAGGGTTTAGGGTTTTAAGTTTAGGGTTTTAGGGGTTGGGGTTTTAAGTTTAGGGTTTTAGGGTTTAGGGTTTTAAGTTTAGGGTTTTAGGGGTTGGGGTTTTAGGGTTTAGGGTTTATAGTCCCCTCTAAGTAGATAGAATAGGGTTAAGGGTTTAGGGTTTAGGGGCTATATAGGGATAATGGAAAAGAAAATGGAAACTCCTGTAGGAAATATGGGGTTATAGTTTCCCTTCAGTAGATAGAATATGGGCTATATTATTGTGTTCTATAGGGATAATGGAAAAGAAAATGGAAACTACCATATTATAGTTGGGTTTACATTTGGGTTTTTAGTCCCGCTCAAGTAGATAGAATATGGCCTTGGGTATGTTATAATAAGATCCCAATATACCCCATATTCTATCTACTTAAGGGGGACTATAGGGTTTGGTTAGGGTTTGGGGGTTCATCTAAAGGTTCTTTATGGATATACACGAGACGGATTTAGGGGTCAGGGGTGGATGGAGGACATCTTGCACTATTTAGAACCCCCAAAATACTGTACTCATTCGAGGGTACAAGTATTTTAGGTGGTGCAAGATTTCCTCCATGCACAGTAGGGAAATGGAAAATGGAGACTGCTATTCGGGGTTCAGAGTTTAAGGTTTTGGGCTTGGTGTTTAGGGCTTTGAAGCATGACTCTGAAAAGCCTGGGGCTTTTCTCAAGGGCCACATAGAGGTACTTGAGGATTCTAATTCTAAGGAACGAGGGTTCGGGGTTATAGGGAATTCTTGCACTTGTGCATCCTTTTAGATGTCACCTCAAGGAGCACCATCTTTTCTTTGGCAGTACACCGGGGAGCCTGCTTTGAGAAAGACCCACATGGGGACTTTCTCGAAATTATTTGCGGCTTTCTTCGTTTGAAGGGGAGTGTGGGGAGTGTATGCTTCAAAGCTTGTCGGCTGCCAGTTTTTGGTTCAAAGTAAGTTAGATAGTAGTTTCCATTTTATTTTCCATTATCCCAATATACCCCCAATATATCCCTTATATAAATTCCTATAAAATCCTATAAAGTCTGTAGTAGTTCAGAGTTATGTCTGACTCAAAATCTGTGTCGCTTCTTCGGATCCCAGCAAAGTAACATAAAGCCATTGGGGTAATATTGAGGTTATATAGGGATTATACTGAGGTTATAATGAGGTTATATAGGGATTATATTGGGGTAATATTGGGGTTATATAGGGGTTATATGGAGATAATGGAAAAATGGAAACGACTATATGATAATAGGGTAGATATTGGGTTTCTAGGGGTTATATGGGAGATAATGGAAAATAAAATGGAAACTACTATTTTGTAATAGGTTTAGGGTTTAGGGTTTAGGATCTGGGGTACTATTATTGGGGTAATATTTTGGGATAATGGAAAATAAAATGGAAACTACTATTTAGGGTTTAGGGTTTTACTACAACAAGCATAGTCTTGTAGACCGTTCCCAAGACCAAGCCGTGAGTTTGACCGCTGCGTTGTTCAGACTTATTAGGACGTCTGGGGGCTTTGCAAATTTCACAAATCATCTTTCTGGGTGCATGTATGCAAATCTGCTTTCAGAACACTCCAAAAACCTAAGGAAAGGAGCAGGAAAAGCATTTGAAACCAGAATGGCAGTAACCGCAGATGACAACAACCACTACTTCCTGCTTGTAAGTTCATAGGAGCGCAACAACGGTCACCGGCGCGCTTTTCAATCCTGCTCTGAAAGGCCCCAAGCTCCATCCAATATTCCACAGACTGAAGCTGTGAACCCTAAAACGCCAACCTCGAAATCTAAAAGTCTTTTTGCGACAAGCTTCTGACTTCGCCCGGATCGGCTCCCAATCTAAAAGCCCCAAACACTACTTGGCTTTGGAACCCTTTGAAAAATATTGGTATATAGGGTCCTTACGAAACCAATTAGGGAAAATATCTAAGTATCCTCAAGGCCAACCCAGACTAAACCTTGTGCTCTTGGTTTTCCACCTCAGTTGGCCCGCAGGAAAAGCTTGGCTCCATCCTGCTCCGAAGGGCTTCTCGGGGGCTGCCCAGAGCCCCAAAGGGATCTAAAAATTAGATCCCCTATAACCATATGGGATATTATATAAGGATTATGTAGGGGTTGTAATGGGTCTATATAGAGGATCTAATTTTTAGATCCTCCCAGGGGTCTGGGTGAGGGTTTAAGGCTTACTGCAACCCCAATATACCTGTACTTTAGTAGGAATTGCCCTCAGTAGGTATATAGCCCCCAAAATCTGTAGACCCTAAGCTCTGTACCGATCTATGCCTGGCCAGTTTTCATTGAATTTTCCGTGTCATTTTCCATTCGATTCTCTGCCATCGGAGACTCTGAACACGGCAGGGATGAGAATTTCAATGTTGCATGCTTCAGCGGTGAACTCTAACTTCTAAAGTCACACGCACGCGGTGCGCAACTAATTGTGGCAGCACTTAGCGCACTTATGATAGGTTAATTCGTGCGGACATAATGACACAGACCGGAACTCAAGAAGCCGACGCCCTCCAGCCCCCGATGGGGTGTAGTTCCAATCCCTTGACTGAGACAGATACATCTCGAAGCAGAAGCACGCATCGAACTAGGCCTAGACCTTTGCCGCTCGTACTTATCGTAGAATGAAGGCACAACTCGTAAGGGCAAGCACGGGGAGTACTGCAGGGAGCTATCAAGGCTACAGTCACGGCCGGGTGCGAGTTTAGGGTTTACGGTCAAGGGTTTAGGGTTAAAACTAAGGATTCAATGCTGCGAAGCAGAGGCGTTTCCGTTTTTTTTTTTGAGGGGGCTCCATAAGGACTGTACGTTGTATTTGATTGGGGTCTATTTTGGAGGCCTCTATTTGTGGAAACTGTGTTTGCTCTTAATGCGGATGCTTCGGACAATACTATTCATAATAACAGTAATACTAACAGTAAAAATGGTAATACCAGTAATAGTAGTAGTTGTAGTAGTAATAATAATTACATGTACAGTGTTCCAGACCAAGCCCGACCCTGGTGTTTGCCTGGTTCCGGTTACTCTACAGAGCTTCTCTTCGAAACAAAAAATTGAAAAAGGCCGTAGAGAAGGTTTTCCTGAACGCCCTACTCACCCTAAACCCTATATATCCCGTATATTCCCTCTAAGGGTACCGCTAATTTTGGCAAATTTCCAGGTAATGTAGACACGCCAGACCAACTACGCATGCGCGAACCTAATTCTCAAGCGCTGAAATACAAGATCCCAAGCCAAACGCAAGGGCCTTATACACTAAATAGGTCTCAATTACCTAAGCCCATAACTTTCAGCCGCAAAGTTTCTTAACCCCAAGTTAGCACAGATCCCAGCACCCCTGCCTGCAGTC